TCAAAAATCTTTTTTAAATGCCCCGAATCTGAAACACTTCTAGAGCCAATTTTGTCTGGGTCCTGAAGAATGAGTAGAGAGAGGCCCCTAGGAGACCATTGCAGTGACACCAATGTCCACACCAGGCAGGTCAAGGCTGTCTTCACTCCCTCCTCCTTCTGTCAGGGACTCAGGATCCCCCTGACCATCTCCCCCCAGACTTCCACTCTTTGTAGGATGAGAAGAATAATGGGAGCAGACACTGGAACCCTCAGCAAGAGTCAGTGTGACCTGGAGAAGAGGAATCCACGTCTAGAATATCACTCGGTCTCCAGCGTTACTTAAAGGTTGGAGTGTTTTATATAAGAACTACCTTGAAGGATGCAGCAACACTGGGCCCACATGCCAGCATGGTGACTCCAAGCTGAGACTGAGGAGATGCCGCCCCTCCACACCCGGTTAGACTGAGGAGATGCTGCCCCTCCACATCTGGTTAGATGGCGCCTGTGCTGTGTGACCTTGATAACTCTTGTGATGATCTTTAACTAGCTAGGATTCTGGGTGTTGGCAGTGAAGGCTGGACCCGGGAAGTGTGTCTTCCCTTGGTCTCACCTTGTGGTCCAGTTGGGGGCTGACACACTGTTTGGCAAGGATACCCCAATTCTCTTCACATGGCCTGTACTAGCCCGGGGTTCTTCCCAAAGTGCTCTCCCACCAGCGGGAAGGGGAAATTCCCAAAAGGCAAACGCTTCCTGGCCTCTGTTATATGATTTTTTTACTCTCCTATTGGGTAAGGTGAGACCCAGCACCAGCTCAATTCCAGGGCCAAGGAAATTGACTTCCCCTCTTAGCTGAAGACGCAAAGCCTCTAAGGAAGAAGAAACTGAGGGGTCAATCAATATCACATTTTGAATTTGAGCTACTGGTTCTCTTAGAATGGGGTTTCTTTGGTGTCGGTCTACCTGCTACAACCCTGTGAACACTTAAGAAAAGGAATGGAGCCTAGAACTCCCCTTGTCTGCTCAGAGCTGAGTGTTCTGCTCATGTGCAGTGAACTAGGAGCCAAGGATAAAGTGCAGCTGAGCAATAGGTAAAGACTGTGCCCAAAGATGCTGACGGGAAGTCAGGATGGCCAGGATCCAAGGTCGTGGTCAGCAAAGCTGACAACTAGACCCCAAAGAACACCTCAGTGATGCTGAGACGATCCCGAGTCTGGGGCGAGAGAAGCACCATGGGTAAGGACCTGAAGCGATGCTTTTGTTGCTAAGGAATCAAGGTGTATCTGAAGTTGGGGTCTTCAGAGATGACACCATAACTCCTCTACTAAAACACAGCAGTGAGGATAACTTGGGTGAGGCAGCACGTCCAACGTAGGGTGATTCAGTCGGCAACATCCTCACTCCCCGGCATTGTGTCAGCGACACACAGTCAATAGCTCTGCTTTGAATGCTGAACTTTATCCTTCTCTTGGGCTAGTGACAGACAGCATGACACTTTCCTCTGACGCTGGGCGGTAGCCATAAGCCACAGCCCCCATGCAGCTGTGCATCACACTGGCAGACAACTAGACCCCAAGTGAGTTGTGACATCCAGTCGAGATATGCAGGAGGCAGCACCTAGGCAATGTATGTTCAACTTGATCTATTCCAACCTATAGAGGGGTTACTAAGATACAGTCCTGCCTTAAGTATCCGTGTTCTTGAAAAAATTGAAGTGATCTAACCAATTTAAATACTTCTAGGATACAGAAACTATCAGGGATACATTTTTTAAAAAAGTAAAAGTACAGGTTTTTTAAACTGTCATGAACACTCAGCTCCTCAGAAGGTGGGACTTTGTATAGTATAACTTGAGTCCCCTGGTCACTTATCATGAGCCTTCCAGAGGGAGGGGGATGGATAGACTGTTCTAGAATAAGAAAGGCTAAAGGGGTAGAACAGGTAAATTTAGTGCGGAAAGTATGACTGAATTCCTATCCCTGGGAAAACTCAAATCTTCACCATGAAAGCATCTGGGGAAATGATAGCAGAGACGGGAGCGTGCACGGCTCAGTCAGGGTAATGTGTGTGTGTAGGACAATAATCGTGTTTCTGACAGCAGAGATGGGAGCGTGCACGGCTCAGCAGGGTAATGAATGTGTGTGTGTGTGTGTGTGTGTGTGTGTGTGTATGTAGGACAACAATTGTGTTTCTGACAGCAGAGATGGGAGCATTCAAGGCTCAATCAGGGTAATGTGTGTGTGTAGGACAACACTCTTATTTAGAAAGCACGCACTCAAGTGCTTATGCCTTTTTCCGCTTACTAAAACACTGTTTTTCGGATCCAGGCTCACCCTTCTATAATTGGCCTTTAGGCACAGGTTCTGTGTCCGTGGGTTCAACCAAAGGCAGACTGATCAAGTGTAGCTAAACACTACAGGCCTTTTGTTATTCCCTAGACCGTATGTTACAACTATTTTCATGACGTTTACACAGCACTAGGCCGAAGAGGCCATCTAAAGTAGGTTTGGAGTATATGGAAGGACAGCATAGGTTATAAATGCACGCCACATCATTTCATACATGGGACTGGAAGATTTGCAGATTTTACCTTCTATAGGGAGTGTTGAAGCCATGTTCCCAGGGACAGCAAGAAACAACCATACTTAACTCTTCTGCGCTGCCAAGCTAGGACCCACAAGTCCTGTCACAAATGTTACCAAGGGAAGAGGCTGAAGGGGAGTGCTAGGCGGGACGGACAAGCACGTGCTGCTTCCTGCCACCTCCTGTCCATGCTCTGTCCCCAGCAGTAACCTGCCCTCCCTGGCAGCTGTAGCGCTTTCCTGGAGCAACAGCTGTATCCAGCTGCTGAGTCCCAGCTCCCAGCTCTGAGGCCACCCCACCCCTGGCTACAGGGACACACTGAGAGCAGCAACTCAGAGCCCTTCCTCAAAGTATCTGGCTTTGTTTCCTCCAGCCTCCTGTCCTGTTCGTCCAGCCCTAGGGACGGTAGTCATTTCTTAATAGTTATGTTCTTCTTGATTATTTAGGGGTCCCTTTTACTGCGCCAGTTATCTGGGTCCTAGCCTTATTACCTATTATCAGGTCAGAACAGTAGTTTACACACAAAGTATGTAGTCTCAGCTAGACGAGGTTTTTTTTTTTTTAAAAAAAAAAAACAGACAGAATTACTAAAATTTGCCTTACTCAAGAGATACTGCCAAATCACATAAATACTATTATAGCATGTTATAAAATGTGTTCCATTTTATTATTGGTCATTGCTATTAATCTCCTACTAGGCCTAATCTGTGAATTTAATTATATTATACGCATGTATAAAGAGAAAGAAAACCAGTCCTTGCAGGGTTCCATCCCATCTGTGGTTTCTGGTACCGACTAGGGACCTTAAAGTATACCCCTCACAGATAAAGGAGCTCCATGGCATAGTGAACTCTCTCCACCTAAATAAGATGTGCTTTCTGCCTTCAAACTTGGTAAAGCATATATAGTAGTTGGAATGGGTTTTTTTAAAGGTTTAGCCAAAAGAAAAATGTATAGATCTATAGGTGTCCATGCGTAGTATATAACACACATGCACATAAGTGTATACCTGCACAAAGGAAATAGGATAAAATGTCGAGTTAGATGTGATGGCTAAGCTAAGGCTGAATTATTGGGTTGTGCTTTCAATTTTAATTCTGTGAATTAAAATACTCTCATGCCAAAAGGTTGAAAAGGTAGAAAATAACCCATTTCACTGCTCGGGATGGTGTTGGTATCAAAACTGAGATCCCAGCTCATCCTTTTCCTAAGTGGATATACTACCCAAAAGTCCCCTCACCCGGCGGAAGGCTCCGGAGGATGTGAGAGGCAAGGAGTACCTGTGTGGGTAGCTGACCTAACGTCCAGCGCTAGAGTCCCTGACCTGGGCAGAACCCAGCCTGGAGAGCTACACAAAGCAGCCCTCAAAATCCTCCCTGTGTCTGAGAGGAGGAGACCACCCCACAGTGTGTCTGTCTCAAAGCCCCAGCAAACCCCAGGTTTCTGGCCTCCGTCCCTCGGGCTCTCTGCTTCCTCTCCCAGAGTCCCTTTGTGTGACCAGAAACCTGCCCTGTGTTTCCGCGCCTCACAGGACGCTGCCAAGACACACACACCTTCCTGCCCTGCCCCAATCGCTGTCTTTATTCCCCTCCATGCCCCTGCCTGTGGTGCCACTTTTGATCTCGATATCAATGCCTGAATTGTGCTGGGTTTCCACCTGTGGCCATTTGCTTTCTTTCCTGCGTAGGCTACATTCTCACTGGATAGGTTCTGGTGAGCTGGGTAGGTATGGCTTCTTTAAGAAAAACATTTGGGCCGAGCATGGTGGTACAGGTTTATAAGCCCAGCACTTGGGAGGCTGTGGCAAGAGGAAGCCAGGCTGAAGGCTAGGGAGAACTCATATCAAAAGCAGAGAAGATGGTCATGAGTGGGGGGGCATACTTTAATCCCGGTACCTGGGAGGCAGAAGCAGGTGGATCTCTGTGTAGGCCAGCCTGGTCTACATAATGAGACCCTGTCTCAATAAAATACTTATTTCAGCCCCTGATAAAATTTGACGTGACAAGAACAGTTACCGTGAACTCTCATCTGAAGCCAGGGAATCATCCTCCCGTGTCTAGAGGCCTCTTGCAAAGGCTGCAGAGAGAAGACAGTGAAAGAGTGGCCCCAAGCTAGAGCAATAGGGCCCACCAGGCGGGGGAAAGAAGTGGAGAGTCACTGTCTATAATTTGCTCTGTTCCCTCACTCATGAGCCACATGCCTCCTCTTACCTGCTTTCCAAATGCCTTCCCACCCTGGGAGGGCCAGCTCTCCAGCTGCGTGCTTTACGGAGCAGCCCCCAGCCCTGTGAAGGCAAGTGGTGTTTCTGCACTGCTCACACCGTGTAGAAACAAATGCCTGGGCAGGTATCAGAAGACGGCTCTCCTGCGTTAGTATTTAAACAGGCAGAGCCACCCCACAGAACTAGACAGCATATCAAGTAAAATTTTGAACACGTACCTCATGACCAAGAAATCCACTTCGAGCCAGCTACAGGTGCCCGAGGAGGGTGGTCACTGGGTCTTCCCTGGAATAAGTTGAAAGCAATGGCGACATTCATCAGTATGGCCACAGATACACAGTTGTTCCACCAAACACCCAGAAGAGTAACAGTTTAAAGGCGATAGTAGATAAATCCAGAGATCAGTTGCAATGTGCGCACTAGCAGGCAGATCCTGGTCTGCAATACTGTTTCCTACTAAGGGCAATCGGGACTCCTTAGAAGAATGGCTGACTTCAGGGCTGGAAGAGGGAAGTGCAAGATAAGCCTGGAACATTGTGTAATGCCAGAAGGGAAGAAAGACTCAAAACCTATGGCAATGTCACAGGGACAAGGGAAGGGGCTCCTGCTGGCCAAATATAGAACAAAGAGCATCCAAATAAAAAGGGGGAGTGTAGCATCCTTCCTGCATGAATCCCGTACCTGCAGATTCAACAGATCTGAGGGGTAAAGCGTTCAGGTGGGGGCGGGCGCTGTATCTGTACCTAGTGTGTGATCTTATTCCCTAAGCCACACAGTATACCAACCTCCTAAACAACATTTTTATTATATTGGATTATTATAAGTAATCTAAGATGATCTACAGTATAAGGTCTCTTGCCATGTCATAAGAAAGATCTGATATCTCAGGGACTCCTGAAACCACCTCCCCACAGATCTCAAGAACTGACTACATTAAGTTAGAGTTTTCTAAGGTCTAGAACCCAGGAATCCATAATAAATTAATAAACAAATTCATAGAGGAGACAACGCTCGCTTATGCCACAGCACCAAGTCCACTGGCAAACGCTGAGGAATTGCTGTCAATGCAAAAATCAATGCTCTGCAGCAACTGTCAGAACAATTGGCGTAAGCAGGACTCATCCACAGATGCTAAACATGAGAAAAGTCTTGGTGAAGAGCTAGCTGTTTGCATGGTCTCTCGTGGCTTCCAACAGAGTGGACATTATCCTCAGAAGGAAATAGTGTCTTAATAGAAGACAAATCAGACAACACCTATTATGACTTTTAACAGAATCAACATTGGCGTCACCAATGAGAAGCAGGGGGCCCTACTGACTGTGCAGATGTGGTGCCCTAAGCACCTGCCTGCCTGTGGAGTGTTCTGGATGAAATGTGCGCCTTGATTTTATATTTATTTTATTTTATGTATTGGAGTGTTTTGCCTGTAGTATGTATGTATGTATGTATGTATGTATGTGCACCATTTGAATGACTACTGATAATGGAGATCAGAAGAGGACATTGGATCGCCTGGAACTGGAGTTAAAGGAGGGCTTCCATACTCCTAGACACCAAAGCCAGGTCCTCCGCAAGAGCAGCAAGTTCTCTTAACTGTTGAGCCATTTCTCCAGTCCTGGAGCACCTTGACTTTAAACATTAATCCAATCATGAGAAAGTCCAATTTAAAAAGGCTCTGATTTCAGGGACTGGAGAGATGGCTCGGTGGTGAAGAGAGCTCACTGCTCTTCCAGAGGACCCAGGTTCAATTCCCTGTACCCACTTGGCAGCTCACAACTGTCTGCAACTCCAGTTCCAAGGACTCTGACACCCTCACGCAGACATGCATGCAGGCAAACACCAGTGCACATACAATAAAAATAAATCATTAATAAATAAATAAAATAAAGGCTCTGATTTTATTAAGCTATAGTCTTGAAAAGCGTCAGCACCATAAAATACAAAGATAAATTAATAAATGTAGGAAATGTAACAGCTAAATAGAATCTTCAATCCTAAACTGAATCCTGGTTTCAGAGGAACGTGCTACAAAGGACATTATTTTAAGTAATTGACTATAAATAGCAGATTAGCCAGATATGTGGCATCTACCTGTGATCCCACGAGCTGAGAAGCTGAAGCAGGACAATCACTGTGAATCTGAGGCCAACTGTGGCTACTCAGTAAGTTTCAGGACAGCCTGTGTTATGTATTTCAACCCTGTAAAAATGCAAGCAAATAGGAGATTAGTAAAGAAGAGCTTCTCAAAATTAAGTTGAGAGCTTACTAACTTCTAGGGCTGGTTTATTCAAGTGTTTAGGGGTAAAGGGAGGCAGCATATGCCACATTTGCAAATAATTCAAAAATGAGATTTCAATTTATGTTTATAAATTTTATATATATATATATACACATGCATATCATGTGTGTGTTCAGATAACAAATTGGGGCAAAAAATTAATTCTGGGGCAAGGGAACTCTTTCAGTTTGATATGTTGATGCGGTAAACACCATGACCAAAAGCAACTTAGGGAAAAAAGGTTTATTTCACCTTATAGTTCTGGGTCATAGTTCAACACTGAGAGAAGTGGGGGCAGAGACTCAGGCAAGAACTGAAACAGAAACCCGGAAGGAACTCCCTCGTTACTGACTTATGCTCAATCAGCTTTTTATGCAACCTAGGACCACATAAGGATGCCACCACCCACAAAAAGCTAGAACCTCCCCCATCAAAACAGTGTCTCACAGGGACATTGGAATGGACCAGTCTGATCATGGCAATCTTCAGTTAAGGTTTCCTCTTTGCAAGTAACTGTAGGTTGGGGCCACAGACATTAAAACCTAACTATGACAGGCACTTGCACATTTTTTAAACTCTTTGTAGTTTTGCAACTTCAAAATAAGTTGTTTCAAGATGAAAAATTGGAGAGAAAAACAAATGCTTCAGGGGTAGGGAGTGGCTCAGTGGCGGAACAAGTGCCTAGCACAAGAGTCTGTATTCAGTCCTTAGGGACACGGAAAATAAACCATCCCAAGAAAGTAATGATGCAGCTATATGCAGTGGAATAAAAAAAAAACCCCAGTGGTGTGGGACCATTGTCTGTATTCTGTCAATTATGTTTTAAATAAATGCTGATTGGCCAGTAGCCAGGCAGGAAGTATAGGCAGGACAACCACACAGGAAATAGAGGCGGGTCAATGAGAGCAGGAGAATTCTGGGAAGAGGGAAGTTTCCTCTGCAGTCCTGTCCAGACACAGAAGAAGCAAGATGTGACTACACCGCTGAAAAAGGTACTGAGCCGTGTGGCTAACACAGATAAGAATAATGGGCTAATGTAAGTTATAAGAGTTAATAAGAAGCCTGAGCTAACAGGCCAATCAGTTTATGATTAATGTAGACATCTGTGTGATTTCTTTGGGACTTAATGACTGCAGGAACCGGGCAGACAACAGCCAAGAAACACAACTAAAAGGAAAGAAAGGGGAAACTATAGAAAATCACTGTATGTGGTGTCACCCATGCCACAGAATTTGTATGTAAATAGTAAATAATTCCTAAAGCCCTAGAAAAATAAATGACTGGTTCCATGCCTTAGCTTTTTACAGAGAATGGGGAATTAGGAAGATAGTTGCTGAATAATTTCTCCATTCTTTTTATTTTTCTAAGAGTGTTTGTATGAATTACATAATTAGAAATAACTTTTATAATATTCTAGAGACTGATTCAGGGGGATTGCTTGGCGTTCAGGCCAGCTTGGACTAGTAAGACCCTGCCTCCCAGAAAGAAAACATTTTGGAGTAAAATTGCGCTTCCATCAACCCTGAGCAACAACATGCCCTGGTGATGTGGGAGTCCCCTCTGTGTGTTGTGTGTATGGGTTAATGAATAAAGAAACTGCCTTGGCCTGACAGAGCAGAACTTAGGTAGGTGGAGAAGACAGAACTGAATTCTGGGAGAAAGAAAGCAGAGTCAGAGAGTTGACATGGAGCCGCCAGATACAGATGCTGGGGATTTTACCTGGTAAGCCACTGTCACATGGCAATACACAGATTAATAAAAATGGGTTAAATTAAGATTTAAGAATTAGCCAACAAAAAACTATAATTATCAAGTTCAAATGGATCAAAGACCTCAACATAAAGCCAGCCGCACTGAACCTTATAGAAGAGAAAGTGGGAAGTACACTTGAACGCATTGGCACAGGAGACCATTTCCTAAATATAACCCCAGCAACAAAGACACTGAGAGAAACAATTAATACATGAGAAGCTGAAAAGCTTCTGTAAAGCAAAGGACACGGTCAACAAGTCAAAACAACAGCCTACAGAATGCGAAAAGATCTTTACTAACCCCACATCAGACAGAGGTCTGATCTCCAAAAATATACAAAGAACTCAAGAAATTGGACACCAAAAGATCACATAATCCAATAAAAAAAATGGAGTACAGACCTAAGCAGAGAACTCTCAACAGAGGAATCTAAAATGGCTGAAAGACACTTAAGGAAATATTCAACATCCTTAGTCATCAGAGAAATGCAAGTCAAAACAACTCTGAGATTCCATCTTACACCTGTAAGAATGGCCAAAATCAAAAACACTGATGAACTTATGCTGGAGAGGTTTGGGGAAAAGGGAACACTTCTGCATTGCTGGTGGGAATGTAAGCTGGTACAACCCCTTTAGATGTCAGTGTGGCGATTCTCAGAAAATTAGGAAATAACCTTCCTCAAGACCCAGTAATACCACTTTAGGGTATATATCCAAAGGATGTTCAATCATGCCACAAGGATATGTGCTCAACTATGTTCATAGCAGCTTTTTATGTCATAGCCAGAACCTGGAAACAACCTAAATACCCATCGATCAAAGAATGGATTTTAAAAAATGTGGTATATTTACACAATGGAGTACTACACAACAGAAAAAAATAATGACAGCTTGAATTTTGCAGGAAAATGGAACTAGAAAATATTATTTTGAGTGAGGTAACCCAAACACAGAAAGACAGTTATCACATGTACTCACTCATAGGTGGTTTTTAAACATAAAGCAAAGAAAGCCAGCCTACAAACCACAATCTCAGAGAACTTAGACAACAATGAGGACACTAAGAGAGACTTACATAGATATAATCTACATGGGAAGTAGAAAATAGAAAAAGACAAGATCTCCTGAGTAAATTGGAAGCATGGGGACCATGAGGGAGGATTGAAGGAGGAAAGGGAGGGGCAGAGAGGGGAGCAGAGAAGAATGTAGAGCTCAATAAATATCAATTAAAAAAAAACTAGAACTAATGGGCCAACCAATGCGTTAATTAATACAGTTTCTGTGTGGTTATTTCAGGCCTAAGCTAACCAGGTAACCGGGATGAACAAGCAGGCCCTCTTTGTAACACCCCAGCTCGGGAGACAACTACCTTTTTCTCTAAGTGAATGAAATGCGCTGGTTGATAATTTCAGACACGTATATGATGCATCCCAACTGCTTTTCCCCTCCCTTTTTCACCTCCCTCCCACCCTGTCAACATGGCTTCCTTCTTACAAATTATCTTCCAACACTGGGGTCCTTTCGCTTTCGCTTGTGACCTCCTGTGGGAGACGAGTGGGAAAACGGGAAAGAGAGGTAGGTGTGTGTGCAAGAGCCTCGTGGAAGCCTAGGGCCTTGTGATCCAACTTAAGACACATTATAAGAGAGAGCAGATAGTGTGAAACGATTAGCCCCTTCAACACCTTCCAGCATCAGACAGCAGCCGGACCTGGGGAAGGCTCTGCAAAAGGTGGCCCAGGAGTTTGGACAGATCCTGGCTTCTGTCAGAAGGAGCTACTGGGAAACCTCCGGGGCGGGGGGGGATAGAAAGGGAGATGAGGTGACAGAAAGTGATAAAAAGTTCCCACATTCAATGCCCCACCTGCAGAAAAGGGCATGTAGCTGTGTGAACTCAGGTGACAGCCAGGCTAGTGTGGGCTCAGGCAGTGCCATTTATAGGGCCAAGCCCCTCGTGCTGCCCCAGAGCCGATATTACTATGGGTGTTGTCTCTCTTTCTCTTCCCTCGGGAACCTCGGGACTTTTGAAGGCAAGTTCCATCCTTACTTGACCGTGCCTGGAACTGTGCCTCCTGGAACATCCGAGCATCCACGCCTAGCAAACACCTGCTGGCAGAGTCAGTGAGCTAGTCACAGGAAGTCTGGGGCAGCACCGAGGTAAGCTGCGACTCCCCAGGGTCACTTAGAATTGTGAAACCCAATCCAGCATGACGCTGAAGTAACCCCGGAGAAGTCTGACGGTGCCGAAGAGATAAAGAGGTGACCATAACCCACATGTTCAAATAGGCAAAGCGAACAGTGTGCCCTCAGCCCTCAGCCAGAAGGTAGCCACAGGGGTCCTGGAATATCACTCTGTGGTCCAAATGTTAGGGAACACAATGAGCTACCACAAAGCAGGTAGCTCGTAATGGAACACTTTCCAGGAACCTTGCTGTGCATATGGCACTCGTGAATACCCGAAGACGGTAGGATCTGCTTGCGGTGTGTTCCAAGCTCATTTGACTCCATCAAATAAGGGCTACCACCCACTTTCAACAAAGGAACTCAAGACCCAGATACATAGAGACTATTTTAGATCTTTTTTTTTCCTGAGAGGATATGAGGAAACCCAAAATAAGAGGGCGTTTCTCTCATCTACTGCCAGGGCACGGTGTGAACAGACCGTCACTGTACAGCTTGTTCTCCTCACCCAAGAAGGCCAGAGAGTCACTGTCAACCAATAAAAATAGAGATCGTGAGGTCCTCAACAATTCTCCTCATGGTCCCCACCTTCCTTTGCCTTTCTGATCCATGGGACACATGCACAGGGGTCTCAGGCTGGGTCTCGGTTGGCAGAGTACTCATTCTGTAAGCACAAAGCCCCGGGTTCCATCCTCAGCACCAGGGTGTGCTGCTGGATTTGAGAGGTGAAGGCAGGAAAATCAGAAAGTCAAGGCCCTTCTCGGCCATATAGCAAGTTTGAAGCCAGTCTAGACTATGTAAGTCTCTATCAAAAAAGGAAAAAGAAATTAATACAAAGAGTCTTGGATCAAAAAGAGAAAAAAAATACCGGTCCAAAACTAGGAAGAGTCATCCCTCTGTCAAGGAATCACCTCGGCCTCATGTGACGCCGTGGCACAGAATTCCACTTGATTCAGTTCCGTTCATCTGCGGATTAACACGT